GACTATTCAAAACAAATACTCATTATATTCATGGACAAATCTTTATTTTATTTTATTAGAAATACTTCACTAAGAAATATGAGTTTTTGTATGTGAAGGACTGCCAAATTTCATGAAGATATACCCACTATATTGAGAGTTATAAGTATTAAATCTATAAAGACTTTAAACGAGTACAAAAAAGTCACATGGTCGGTCGAATTGACCGAGCCTGTATTGAAGTGTTATATCCATGTATGTAAATGAAGTTTTATATCATCTATTTCAAAATAAACATGTAGAAAACTACTTAAAACTTCAGATGTATTTTCACATGACCAACGAGCTGTGAAGACTGACGGTATCCGTTTCCATAGTGAGATAGAGGCCTACATTTGGTCTCCAGATGGCTGTGAGGCTGCGAAATTCTAGAGAGAATTTAGATTCCCTTTTTCCACCACCTTCATTTACTCTGTCATCTTCTCATGAGGCCAATTTGGATCAGCTGCTTACGGCTCCTTTTCTTCCATTGGTATATTGAGTGCGTGATGTTTTGGGTCTTTCCCTGGCTGCTTTTGACTCTGAACCTTCCTTGATGGCAGAAAGGTCTGAGGGTGAGTACTTAGTTCTCCCTCCATCTCCTGATATTGTGGTTCATGCAAGGAGGTTTACTGTTCATTTATGTGAAGGGACAGCTATACCTTGTCTGCCACATTTGTCAGAACAACATACGTTCACCTACCACCACTAGGTGGAAGCATATTTAGACTCTCAGGGAATAGACCTGTTTCTAGAAATGTGGGGTTCCAGAATGGAGCCTGTGGTCAACCTTAATGGGTCACAATTTTCTAGAATTCGTATGACCCTAACTATGGTGCTGTGATATCATCCCTACATTTTTTTTAGGAAGCATCTCAGCAGTCACCACATCACTTTGCTGATGAGTTGGGGCCATTGTTAAGAAAACCGTTGGTGTGATTGTCAGCTTATGCACTTTTCTACTCTCATGGCTGGTACGTTGTTGGATAGAGTTGAATTATTGGAAGATGTTCATTTACCTGTGGATGACCAAGTACGATGTTTCCAATGCTTATCTGCATGTTTCTATAGTGGAGTTGTCCCACCACTATCTGCATTTTGTGCACAAGGATATGGTGCTTCAGTTCAGGGCTCTGCCCTATGGACTAGCATAGGCCCCATATGTGTTCTGCTGAATCATACAAACCTTTTCTTGTCACCTCCATTCCCTGGGCCTGTGCTCACACTATTCCATGGATCTGGCTACTGTTGGCACCATTTAATCAGTTGGTGGAATGTCAGACCCAGTTACTACTTTCCAAAGCAACCAAGGTAGGATTTCTTATCAGAACAGAGGCATCTCTTCTTACTTCAACACAATATATCACCCATCTGGGTGTCTTTTTCAACATTTATCTGTGTCAGTCTCAACCAACTCCCATCTCGCTCCATGCTATGGAACAGGCAGTCCAACTCTTACTCACGTCTCTTTCTCCCATGCTTCTTTTTTTTAATGTGGGCATCACTGAAATGCCTCATTCCTTTTGGATGAGTGCACATGAGATCCATTTAATGGTCTCTACACGTCCAATGGATCATGAACAGCAATCCAATAGATTCCCCAAATTCCTTATTTAGGATCAACATCTTTGATCTCAAGTGATGGTTAGATCGGAACACTACTATGATCGGTATTCCTCTGCTACTACCTTGTTCAGAGATCCATATTTTCACTGCTGCTTTGCTTCAGGGATGGGGTGCATATATCAACAGTCAGGAATTCCAGGGCCTATGGACAGATGAGAAGGCTTCCCTCCACATCAATGTTTTAGAACTTCTTGCTGTTCAAAGGGCGATGTCTCAAGGTCTGGAATTTTTTAGTGATAAAGTCATCATGCTTTAATCTCCTACAAATCTACATTTGTATCTTACATTTCCTGTCAATGGGGCATTTGGTCCAAGTCTCTTGGGGGGGGTCTTCAATATGCAGAGTTCCTCCTTGAGTCAGTATAATCACACTGGTATGAGATTGAGTGGATACACCTCTTGATTGAAAGTAGGGCAGGGGAGCTAACCTGGAAGAAAAATGGTACAAGTCACTTTTAACACTTAAGAAACATACCATTCCAAGTTGGCCTTGAGTTATTGGGATGAAAGTCTGAGATTATTCATCCTTGAGCCTGCATATTTGTAGGTTTCTCACATGCTTTATGGCTTGATATATTAATTTAGCCACACTTCTAAGATCTGCTGACCTCTGGATATATATAGGGTATTTGAACATCCTCCACATTTAACTCACCTTTCTAACACTTTACCAAAATGTTGTGTTCTTTTTAAAGAAACCCTTCTTGACTACCAGTAATATTTGGCACAGGTTATTCCATGCTAAAAATGGATGAGTTTTCCCCTTTCTATCACTATATTCTCAGAAAGGAGCTAATGTTTTTAATTTCTTTTTTCACACTGGCCCCTCCTATCATTTCAATATGGGAATCTAACTGATTGCTTTGTGGAGAGGTAAGTAGTATAGTCTTGAGTTAAAATTATTGCTACTTGAAAATGTCTTTCAGATAGATACTCATCTTTCCACAGAACGACCCACCTTACATCACCATTTCCGGTGTGTTTATTTTCCTTGTCGAGAATGAGATTTGGCTATACACAAAGTGTTTGAAAGGGGAGGTTGTTATGCACTCTTATTGGTGGATGGGTGGGATATGGTGTTAATTAAGAACATAGATTAACATAGTAAACCTTATTAAGTGGAAGTGTTTGAGCTCTTTCATTGGCTTAAGTCATGCAAAAAACAAACTTTTTTGGCAGTAGCACCAAGGCACTATCTAATTGTTTTGTAGAGTGATGAGAATCTATTTGAAATACATTTTCAGGTATAGAAAATATTAATATCAAAGCACTTGTAACTTGTAATGTTATAAATATTTCAACTTTTTGCTTACAGCCAAGCAGCTATGTGATTTTGAAGAATACCCCATCTATAAATCGAACTTTGTGGACTGTGAAGCATCTGATTAAAGTCAAACCTATAACTTTTCCATATGGTCTTCCAAAAGAAGGTGATTACAGTGGTACTTTTCTAAAACCAAGTGGTGAAATGTTTGTCTCTCAGAAGCTTAAAGTAAATCCAGAATGTTTATTAGAAAATCCTAAAAGAGAACAGGTAAAAATGGACACTGAAACATTGAAAAAAGAACTTAGAAGAAAATGGGTTACATGAAGCTATTACATGAAAAGAAAATCTTAAGTGGAGTGAGGATAGTATGCTTAGATATGAAGTGTTTGCTTCTCAAACAATGACAAGAAATGTCACTGCTAAAATATAACATGTATTTCAGAAAGAAATAAAGGAATTCATAAGTAGTGTAATGCTCAGAAACCTTCAGTGTTTTTCACTGCTTATGTATGATTACATAACATATGTGTGTATGTAACAATTATTGTAGATTTAATGATGCTTTGTTTAGGATATTTTATGTAGCAACTTTTTGTTTGACTAACTTTCAAGCTAATTAAAATCAGAATAATAAAAGCCGTAGTATACAACAATATACCTTTATTATTATAGTCTATAGGAAGACTGGGAAAAGTGAGACACCAATCAGTATTACAGTTCTAACAAATGATTTACAACACTTAAATTGTTGATATTTCTAGAAGAAATGATATTTATTTATTTTAAGATTACAAAAAATAAACTTGCTATGCAAACTTTCACTAGTGTTAGAAATGAATATAAATGTCATTTCATCTACTGATTAAGATTAAAAAAGCATTCAGTTTCCACTGTCTAATCATAAAATAATATTATATGTAGCAGTTACAGAACAAAAAAAAACAACAGTAAAAACAGCAGCTGTAGGGTCAGACCTGGAATTATTCTGAAGCAAATGCTTTTTGATTTATTTTATACAATATGGATGTGCTGATTCTGAATGATGCTACTTTGGCATCCTTGAGCATTTCGAGATATTCAAGATGGCTGCCAAATCATTTATGTGTCTACAGCTAGGCTTTTGATAACTATTTTTAATTTCTCTTTATCTAATATGTCTGTTAAACTGCTACCTTAGCTCAAGATCAACACTTTCAGGGGTAGCAATATACAAGTACAATTATCGTAAACATATATGTATTTAAATACACTAATTTCATGAATACTTAGTTTCACATTTCTTTTTTGGATATTCATTTAACCACTTTTTGTAACAGTCATTATCTGCTTATCACTAACTAACACAAATACATTGTATGTATTACTTCATGGTTTCTTCATAATCAAGCTCCTTCAATATGAGTCACTACTGTTTTAGTCCAACTATTATTGCAATTGCTGTCCCTTTCACTACACTTACAAAGAACACTGTAAGACATCTGATTTGTTGAACAAGGTCACTCACAGCAAATCATCTGAAGTATTCTAGGTGGAGCTACTGGTTTTTCAGCTAGTAACATAACAGGAACAGAATATGTCATGCTCCCATCCAAACTCAGTTGGATTGTTTAATGCTGCCATCCATATACGTGTCTGAAGATGAACTTGCTTGACATTTTCAGCAAAGACTTCTGATGTGGGTGTAAGAAACTTTAAATTTTTACTAGCCTCCGTTATTTTTCTGGAAGGTTTCCTTAAGCAGGTGACACAGTGTATGTCAGACATGTTGGTATGAGTCGGCTGACTTCCACAGCATGTGGCTATAAATAAAGTTGTTTCTCTAATGATCTGCATTAAGATCTTCAAAATGATCAAGCTTGTAACCTTCTAACAGCACTTTGACAGCAATTGCTTTTCCTATTCCTCATATGTATGCAGTTGAATCACACCCTGAAATGGTGTAATCTGTGAGTGTTTACGGGCAGTTAGCCCAATGTCAGTAACTGTATGCTGTGCATAGACTGGTTCTATGAGAAGCACACAAGTGAGAGTGTTGATCAGTTAGTGATGCAACAACAACACAAATACATATCTAACTTCTGAAATTACAGTAATACACCTTTCACCTTTTTGATGATCTTCACAGCCTGTCATATCATTAGAACATCTGCTTCTTTGTGAGTAGATTGCAAGTTATCTCTGGCAGTACCTGCTAGATGAACTTCCTCTGAAGTACTCTTTGGGCCTGTTACATCCAGCCCATGACTTTAGGCAATGGTTCTTGGATTGGAGAGCTAGACTGTAATACATGATACTGGGCTTCTTGAATATTGTGCAAAGTGCTTATATAGCCAGATACACTTTGTATATTCACAGATAAGTTTTAAGGTTGACTTTTTATAATAATAACCTTGTGAAAAGTCATCAATGGTCAATATACACACTGATGATACTCATAGGTCAGATTGAAGGTTGACCTTTTTGCAGCAAAAATCTCAGTAAGATTAAATCTAGAAGGTGGCTTAAAATGTACTACTGCAAAATGTCACCAAATAATATAACAAACACTGCATTGAATGTTTAAATAGAGTAGTTTGGTCAAATTGATAAACAGTCAAGACTACCATACACTACATGTACTTGTGCATCTATCAGTCCATGCAATAATGTTAGTGACATCATTGGAACATATCTCAGGTTAATTACCAGGAGGTGGTGGCTTATCATACAAACATTAATT